TAATGTTAATTTATTATTACATTATCTGACAATAATTGTTAACAGTAATTAAAAGTATTTACGTCTTTCTTTGAAACTGGAAAGTATAATAATTATATTATTAGCGATTTATAAAAAAAGGCAATGTTGCTTACTGCCATGTTTTCTCCAAAATGTATTAAAGTTGTAGTAATTTGCTTCTAAAAGGCGCAAATTCTAAATTTTATTACTACACAGCACTGTTTTGCCTTAGTGCCGGGGCACAAATACGCCGGCTCTCATGCCGGAGCTTGAACGGCTATACTGAATTTTTTCTCATTCTCAAATTTAAAATTTGCATTGAAAAGAATAACAATTGCACTCATGCCGTGCCCGAGGCACTCTGCATAACATGGCCCTAAATGTAAGTACTCGTTATATTTTTATATATTTTATATTTTTTTATATATTTTATATTTCTTTTAATTCAGATGACTGAAATTAAGAAACTCAACCACCACGCATGGACGGAAGAGGATGAGATTTTCCTTACAGCATCTTCTTTATGATAATTTATACCGTCTGTCAGGGTATTTTCAAAATGATCATTTAAGGCTGCTTAATGATAGTTTAGTGCGCTCGTCTGTCAATGCTATAAAGCAACTATAAGGTTATATATAATGAAACAGCAGTAACTATACCTTGAGCAAAGAATCTAGAGTACAAAGAAGTGCCACGCTCATACAAACGAAATACCCACTTTATTTTGCTGGTGGATTTATAATAAATCCACCCAACCTCATGCAACAATGTTCGATCGAGTCACAACTGGTATGATGTTCAGTTTAAACTCATTGCAACCCACAATTGTTTTTATACGCCTGTTTCTTTTGCCTTTCTTGTTTTTATTTGTCTATTTTATTAATATACATTGATTAGTAGCGAAGTGAATGGTAAAGAAATCCCTGAAACAATTTTTCCATGTACTTTGTTGCTTTATCTTCTTGTACTGGAAAGGCCCATATCATAGGAGTAAAGAGTAATATACATAATATATTATATTTTTATTGCAAAAAATGATGCACTACAAAAACTATTATGTATGTACAAATGTGATATTGGAGACATTAAGTCTGCAGTACATAAATATGTATGTTTTTATTGCACATTTGTGCATATATTTTACCTCAAATGGAACTACTTCTTAATAGTTTGAAATTTTGGTAACTTTTTGTAATTATTTTAAAAAATATTTGCAAGATTCATATAAAACTGTTTGAAAAGTATTTTAGAGAAAATAAAAATATTAGAAATGTAAGAAAAATTATAATGAAAATATGTGTAGAAATCACTAAAACCACTAATAATGCCTCCTGGTTTGAGGAAACGCATGAATGCTATTTACACCGGATTGAAATGTTAAAATTGGTGATTACGATATTGCTTCCGAAACATTGCACATGGACAACATTTAAAAATAAAGCTTCATAGAATGGAAAAAATCAGATTTGAGAAATAAATAAATTTGTAATATGTTTTTACACTACAATTCATAACAATATCAAACAGGTAATTTTGTTTCATATGCTATTAAATTTAAAAACTTATCAAATGTACACAATTTTGACTTCGTCACTGAAATGCTATTTGATCGCTTGAACATTTTACAGCGAACCAACATACAAACATGTATATAATGTAATACAGAGGGTTGCATGTATGATTGAATACGTATGCAGTCGGGCTTTTGTCAGCCTTACTTGACTCACATATAGGTTTGAACTGAACATCATACCAGTTGTGACTCGATCGAACATTGTTGCATGAGGTTGGGTGGATTTATATTAATTCCACCAGCAAAATAAAGTGAGTATTTCGTTTGTATGAGCGTGGCACTTCTTTGTACTCTAGATTCTTTGCCTTGAGGTTACTTGAGGCGCTGCGAATGTGCAAGTTTTTTTTTCAAATAATTGGATTTTTGGTAAAAATTGGACAATTTTTGAGAAATTATGTGAAAAAACTATGTGCACGATTTTTACGATTTTTAGTTTTTTGAAGGGAATTTTCTTGTCTTTAAAAAAAAAATGTTATGCCATTGTAGTTTCTCTTTTGCACACTAGTTTATAATGATTATAATAGAGTAAGCTAAAAGAAATGCTCTATTTTATAAATTGTTTTTGATATAAGTAAAACATGTTATGAAGGTCTTAAAATTATATTTTGTGATATATTTTTCAACATTTTCAATTTTTGGTTTTTTAATTTGGTTGACATTTAAGTAATTTTGATATTAAATTGACACGATTTTGCATAAATTCTAAGTGTATGATTTTAATTAAAAGCTTGCTTTGCTTTTAGGTGAATATTCGTGGGCGTCGTACCCTCCTTGGTTGTTTTTGAAAAATTTTTTAAATATAAAAATTCAGTTATTTTAAAAAAAATTTTTTTTTTGTATTTCTTGGCTATTATACGACAAACAATTATAAGATATATCCCAAATAAAAGAAACTTTCTCATCAAATATTTTTTATTTGGTGAGAAGGTTTAAATTTAATTAATTTTGACAAATTCATAAACTTAGAAAAATTTTGTGTTCTAATTCCGGTTTAGTCCTCGCAGCGTCGTTGCTATCTTGACTCAGGTGAAGTTGAATGTGACGATAACGTAGTTCATGTTTCAAATTTTGTGAATGGTAGCCCAACGACTGTCAATTGTGTACAAATATATTGTTGATACTGTATATCTCTGAGACTTATGTATTAAACACAAATAAATTATTTGTGTTATTATTGAACTTCTTCATATAAGAATAATAAAAGTATGTCAAGCACGGAACACATTGAATGTGTAACGTTAATTAGCGACGATTCTGATGCAGAGGAGCTATCAAAAGAAAAACCACCGTCTGGAACATATGTCAGTGGTAAAGTGAAATATGATGACGACTCAAATGATGCTCCGACAAATTCAGATGAACGCCGTACGAGCAGACGGATAAGACCCAAGGTAAAAAATAAAATATAATGTATGAAATAATTTTATATCAAATTCTCTAGGTTGATTACTACAAGCCTAACTCCAATACAGAACAAACTGATAAGACTAACCCTACAGTGTCAGCTCGGTCCGAATTTAAACCCCGTAAATCTGATAATATGCGCATGTTAATACAGAAAGATAGTAATGATTCTCAAGAAGCGCAGCCGATTGACAAATATCATGATTTCTTTAGTGGAATTGATGGTGCAGCCTTTCAATCACGATTAACACCCCATAAAATGGTTTCAGGTGAATCATCCGCTTTTCCCGATATAGTAAAAACTGGGCAAGTTGCACAACTAATATTTCTTAATGTACGCAACCGTATTCTAAAAATGTGGATAGATAATCCAAAAAGGGAATTGACCTATGAGAGAGCATTACAAACCTTAGAATCCCCCTTTGATAGTGATGCTAACTTGGTAAAACGTATTCATTCATATTTAGAGAGAAACAGCTACATAAACTTTGGTATTTTTCAAAGATTGCGCCCTCTACCGTTGAAAAAATATAAAAAAGTAATAGTGATTGGAGCTGGAATATCCGGTCTAGCAGCTGCAAAGCAGTTACAACAATTTGGAATGGATGTAACGGTTTTAGAAGCTCGTGACCGGGTTGGTGGGCGCATATCTACTTTTCGCAAAAATAATTATATTGCCGATTTAGGAGCAATGGTTGTAACTGGAGTTTATGGCAATCCAATTTCTATTATAAGCAAACAAATTAACTTGGATATGATACATATACGTCAATTTTGCCCCTTATTTGATGCTGGAGGAAAACCTGTTCCCAAAGATAAGGATGTGATGGTATAATATAAACATTATAATTATAATTGTAAAATGCAAGTATTTTAGATCGAGCGAGAATTTAATAGACTTTTAGAATCTGTAAGCTATATATCACATCATCTTGATTATAACTATGCTGGTAACAATCCTGTATCTCTTGGACAGGCGTTAGAATGGGTTATATCATTGCAAGAAAAAGCAGTTAAAAAAAAGCAATTCAAACATTTAGTCAAAATTAAAGACATTCAGCAGGAGATTATTGAAAATCAATCTAAAATATTGGACATACAATCTTTTATTAAAGCTACTAAAGAAAGTTATGAAAGTCTTATTAATACTCGTCAGCCACGAAAAAATGAATCTGACAATATTTGGACAAGTCAGGAATTTGAGATACGATCTTTATACCAACAGTGGATTAAAGCTTTTAATACCTATGAAGAACTTATTGAAAAAGAAATGTTGCTAGTTTCTAAACTCAATGAAATAGAATCTAACCCACCAAGGTACTATATTCATAAAATATATAGTATATATAATATTAATTTTCACTCACTATTTCGTATATTAGTCAGGTGTACCTTTCACCAGAAGATCGTCAGATTCTTGATTGGCACTTTGCTAATTTAGAGTTTGCTAATGCTACTCCTCTTAATAATCTTTCACTTAAGCATTGGGATCAAGATGATGATTATGAATTTGTTGGCATGCACACTACCGTACGAAATGGTTATTCATGTGTTCCTATTGCACTTACAGAAAGCTTGGATATACGTATGAACACAGCAGTAAAAACAATTAAATATTCTTCATCAGGTGTTGAAATAATCGCTGAAAATACAAAAGCAAATAATTCCACTCATACATATAAGGGTGATATAGTTCTTTGTACGTTGACGCTGGGAGTGTTGAAGCTAGCTGTAAGTGGAGGTATGAATGTTCAAGCGAATATGGTTTCTTTCGAGCCACCCTTGCCTGAATGGAAACAACAAGCAATACAGCGTTTGGGATTTGGCAATTTAAATAAGGTCGTACTGTGCTTCGATCGCATATTTTGGGATCCTAGTACAAATTTGTTTGGTCACGTGGGAAGTACTACAGAAAGTCGAGGTACGTTTTATTGGTTATAGATTTTTATATTATATGCTGTATTATAAAAGTTATTTTTTAAAAAATTAGTTTAAATATTCAACCTATATAACAGTTTTGTATCCTGTCAAACATCCGCATTCAGTAATTTTTGGGTAATATTTTTTTTTTTGTGTGCATATAGATCAATAAATTTTTTGTTTAAACCAACACACGAACTGTTAACTATTTGAATTTAAAATGGGTAATATTCTTAATGTGTTTTTAAAATTATTCACTTTAAATCAAATTATATCGAAAAAGACATATTATTTCATACGAAGTTTATGTAGTAAATGAAATTGTTAATTGGAGTATTATTGTTCAAAAGGGCAGTAGGTAACTTGTTTCAAAGCATAATATTAATAAAAGATTTCTTATAGAAGAACCAGAAAACCAGAAAAATTTAGCATTTATTTTAAGTAAATTTGAAACTAGAGCTCCTCTGTGGACTTTAATAAGCCACTCTTACTTAGTTAAGTGGTGAACCCATTTAAAAGAATTAATATTTGCTGAATTGGCTGCAATATTTAGAATATCATTTTAAAGTCGATGACAAATGTAACAAGCTATATGTTCAATGTATATGCTGCCAATCATAGCAAGACGCAAAAAACTCATTCGTGTATTTTCAATTTTTTTACAGATAAAAAATAACTTATGTCTAACTTACTGTAGGAGCGCTTTATATTCTAAATAAACAATCGAATAAGGAAAAAAGATAATAATTGATTTAAAATAGGAACTAGGTTATATTCTAAATAAAATAAAAAATTGACTAAGGCAAAAAAAAAATATAACAACGGATTTAATATGGAGACTAGCTCATATTCTAAATATGTATAGAGTTGAACATCGGTCGGAATCGCAAATGAAGCACGTAGACGCACTAAGTCGGATGCTCTGCATGATGATATAAGTACATTTACACATAAGTTGAGAGAAGCATAAACTCACGATTACTGGCTGAAAACGTTTAAAATGATCGTTCTTTCTTTTATTCCTTAATGTAAAGAATGGGATTTTGTTTAACGACGGGATAAGAAATTACTAGTCATTCTACCAGATAGAAGGTGAAGTAATCACTGCCGTACATTGTAAAGGCCCCTTCGCTCAGAAGAAAATGTAAGGTATCATTGAAAAGGAATATTCCTAGAAGGTCGGCACATTTATTCCTTCGGCACCGGCGGAAGTTTTTGAATATCCAATGGGGCGATATGTAAAATAACAATAGAGATCTAGTATGTGATGGCGGTACGGCATTTACGGCGAATACATTTGAAGAATACTGATAGTCAACTGGTATTCAATATGTTCTTATTTCAACTAAAGTTCCTAAGCGCAATATACAGATAGAATGTATCCAATAGTTGTTTTTATGCTAGCAAAACTATCTTAGGAGAAACCTACTTTGTGGTACAAACATGTTGATAGAGTTCATGTTGCTGATTGTGCCATTTTCTTATTCAAAATATGAAATAAGTTTGTGTTTTGTAAAAATTAATAAAATTATATATATATTTGTGGTATAATGAATATGCGGAAAAAAAGTTTGCAAAGGAAGTAATTTCTTTAATTTATAGCTTTTTTTTTAATTTAAATACAACTATAGATGTAATTTTTCAAAATTGTCTATCTATCTATCTTTCAATAGTTATGAAACACTTCTAAATTTTGGTTCATATTTCAAGTTAGCCAAAAAAATTGTGCAGTAATTTATATTGTACCTACATTATTTTTCATGAAATGTTTTATACTGTGTACATATAAGAGAGCCTGCAAACTCAACGTTAGTGATTCGCATAAGACGATTTACGTAAAGAAAGGTGCACGGAGCGTGAAAATAAATTTACAGCCTGACAATTTATTTTTAGGATTTTTATAACAATCAATCTTTTAAACGTATGATTTGAAGAGGATTTTCTTTTAGAAGACGTTTAACTACCTTGAACAATGTGTACGGTGGGGCTAAAGCGAATATTTTAAATAGATTTATCGATAGAAAATTCAAATTTACTAATTGACAACGCCATAAGATAAAAGTTTTCGACATATTCATAATTAATTTAGAAATTATTAATATAGAGCTATTCACTTCAAACTCCTGGTTTAGCAGTACTGTTTTATTGACATGCTGAATAAGGTTTGCTATTTTAAAGTATGGATTTTATAATGTGTAAAACTTACGCCTATAAGGTGTTCACACAAGAGTCATTGTGTCCATAAAAAGTCGCGCATGAAGTATTTAAAATGCAGTACTAATAGGATCGTAGTCTTCGGTGGGCATGATATGTTGGATTGCGATGAACAGAAAGTGCCCAAAATACGTGCAAAATAAAGCTTATCTAAAATGTTTAAGGAAAATATTATTTTAATGTCTTTACTAGACAGTATCAAATTTCAATAGGCTAGTTTTAATTCCATAATTCTAATTATATTTTTTCTATTAATTTTAAATAGGTGAGCTGTTCCTTTTCTGGAGTACTCCTCAAAATCCAATATTGCTTGCTCTAGTAGCTGGACGATCAACGCATATTATGGAAAACGTTTCAGACGATGTTATCGTAGGACGAGCTATTGCTGTTTTAAAATGCATATACGGGAATGGAGCAGTTCCTCAGCCAAAAGAATCGATTGTCACACGATGGCGCGCTGACCCATGGGCGAGAGGTTCTTATAGTTTTGTAGCCACTGGTTCATCTGGCAGCGATTACGATCTTTTGGCAGCACCAATTATTCCATCCGATTCTAGTAAAACGAGTACCTCACAATCATCGGAAAAGCAAGGGTTACCTAAATTATTTTTTGCTGGAGAACATACCATACGAAACTATCCTGCAACCGTACATGGCGCATTTTTGAGTGGTTTACGTGAAGCTGGTCGTATTGCCGATTTTTATTTAGGATTTCCTGAGGGAACGCCATCTAGCGTTGGGCAATGCATGTTGCAGTGCACTGAAAATACTGGTGATATCAACAATACACCATTTACTGAATTAGCTTCTAATACAACAAATGAAAATTATAATGCTAAAAAAAATGCTTGAATATCATTCTTGGCAGCAGTAAAAATATAAATGTACTAGATGTTATATTTTATTTTAATTATTTTATTTACATAGTTATAAATAGAAAACACAGTGTTTACCAGAAGAAATTTATCGAAAATATTTTGATTTACTGTATTATGTAAATCACGGTGAATTGTTCAAAAGTAAGATCTCATTACAATATCTATTATTTGTAATTGCAAATAAATATATTGTATATATAGATAACATTGACTATCTTATATTATTGCAAAGAAGATTTATTTAAAACTCTGAAGTGTAGCTTAATTTTAGAAAAAAAAAATTTATTTTACATAATTTTCATTTTAATTTTTTATGAAAAGTATATTTGAACAGGCATGTGTTTTAAGTTTGGCACTTGCAGTCCAACAAATTATATATAGACCTTAAACTAATTAAATAAAAATTCGAATATTTCCTAACATAACTGATGATGATTACGTACAGTACGCGATACAGCGTTGTATGGTCAGCCAAATTCCATTAAATTAATTAAAATTTTTGTTGTTTCTTCATTACCGTTCGAACTTATAAGTAATTATTATTTCAGTACTGCACGTTAAGAATATCTATGTCTTTTCTCTAAATATGTTTACATCAGTTTTAAGGGTAACGCTAACTACTAAATTTTAGTAACTTGTAAGGACGGAATTTTGTACAAATTTCCGTCCTACATAAACCTATAACCAAAGCCAGTAGCGAACATCCGCACGCACGGCGAGCACAGCAAAGCCAGCAGCGAACATCCACACGCACGGCAAGCACAAATCAAAGCCAAACACGCGGGATTACACTTGTGCGGTTGTGCGTGTAAATAATAATTGCATATAAATAGACGAGACTTTGTATGCAAGATCACTTAGCACCAGCATACCGAAGCGAGTAGACCTCTACTCCAGCGCTAAGTCTCCTTTTAAAAGCCTAGTGTTTTGATGGTAAGGCTAAATAAATTCGTAGAAATATTGAATAGAGTAGAAATTTGTTATAACGCCTTTGATATTCTGACATCGTTGGCTAGAACTTGTGACGTAGAAATTTGATATAACGCCTTTGATGTTCTGACATCGTTGGCTAGAACTTGTGACGTAGAAATTTGATATAACGCCTCTGATGTTCTGACATCGTTGGCTAGAGCCTGTTAAGTAGAAATTTTATATAACGCCTCTGATGTTCTGACATCGTTGGCTAAGAAAAAACTCGTATCATAATAATTAGCATAAGTCAATAAAATTTTAAAATAAAAATCACACGGTGTTTAACTTTCTCTCTCCTTGGTTTACCAGCTTTCGAAGTGGTCAATAAAACAAATTTATTGCGACGACCCGGACCGCGACTGAGTGATACCTCAGCAAAATTAAAAACGACGAATCCGTGTCGTTACAAACTTAGTAAAATTTTAATTTTTAGTTTGTTCGTAAGTTTGATAAATTATTAAACATTTATCAACTAAGATTCGATGTTTATATAAAAGCATTAAATCATCTTTGTTAAATTTGTTTTTCAATATAATTAATGTAACTTAATTCAATACCTATAAATGTGTTAAACGTTTAAAGAAAATATAAATGAAAAGGTTGTTCGGAAAGCCATACGTTTTTTTTTTTTATAAAAATGAATAACGGTTTTTTAAAGGTAAAAACTAATTTTTAAAAAATATTGTGTATAAAATATATATAATATAATATAATATAATATAATATAATATAATATAATATAATATAATATAATATAATATAATATAATATATAATATTATAATAATATATAATATAATATATAATATTATAATAATATATAATATAATATATAATATTATAATAATATATAATATAATATATAATATTATAATAATATATAATATAATATATAATATTATAATAATATATAATATAATATATAATATTATAATAATATATAATATAATATATAATATTATAATAATATATAATATAATATATAATATTATAATAATATATAATATAATATATAATATTATAATAATATATAATATAATATATAATATTTTAATAATAGATAACATTATATTATTATAATAATATTATAACATA